ATTGATTGAAGCACTAAAGCCAACAGAGATGAACCAAGGGGGATAAAATCAAGCTAGTCCAAGCGCAACCGGTCAGAAGAATGCAGAGGCGGAAGATAAAGTAGAAAGGATAGTATCGGAAGTGCAGAAGGAGGTCAACAACCTGAAGCTACTAAAGTATGATCTGGCGGTTGTGAAGGGCGCGTTGCAGAAGATCAATGACCCGACTCGTACCTGCACTCCGATCGTGTCGTCTTTGGTTCATTCGAACGGATATGTGTGGACAATGGTTGGACTATCAACTTCAGTACATGGTAGCCGCAGCATTCCGAGTCGAAGCATGCCAAGCAGAAGCGCACCGAACAAAAACAGATTGGGACGCGTAATCCCTCCACACCCCAAGAGAGGACGAACGAAGATTAATCGCAACGTGTCGGCAGCGAAGTCGAAGGCAAAACGCAACATTAATTTCAAGGTCGAACCGATGACGGACATGCAACTCCTTCGTCTTCACTACATGGAAGGTCTTATGCAAGATGCATATGCAAGATGCATGACATTAGGTACAAGGACAAGCAACGTGTCGGCAGCGAAGTCGAAGGCAAAACGGAGCATTAATTTCGGGGTCGAACCGATGACGGACATGCAACTCCTTCGTCTTCACTATATGGAAGGTCTTATGCAAGATGCATGACATCAGGTACAAGGACAAACCGCAAGCGATCTCGGCATTGAGGCAAGTTCCTGGATTGATTGCCTACAAGGGGCGGGACTTCAACCGGGATTCTGATCTTGAAACACAGATCATGCTAGATCCAGATAACATCAGAGTGTCCAATACAACTGGCGGCGACACAAGTGAGGATGATTACGAGAGCCTTAGTACAAGATCAAGCAGGAGTGATGAGTATGACTCATCTGACACATCTTCGAGCGCCGAAGATCTGTCAGGAAGGTAGAAGACACCTCAGCATCAGGCGACCTTACCACGACACAGAAGTGGGAGCAGATACATAGGCTATCAACGAAAATTGAGCAACTAGTTAGTACAGGGAGTTTCACCTTCGTGTAGACATATGTACGTGGGGAGGACAGGAAGACAGCCCGACAAGAGATGGACTGAACAGATAAACTTGGCCAAGAATCCAAATAGAGGAGCACAACGGAAACTATAGAGTTGGCTGCACAAATTTGGTTGGGAGAAATATGTTCTGATACCCATTTGGACGGGAGTGAGATAAGAGGTGATAGGGATGGAAGCAACACTGATTAGGAGACTGAATCCATTCTTGAATACAAGGGGAAAAGGCAGAAAGACTCGGAAAAACCGAAGACGAAAAAGAAGAAAGCGAAAGAAGAATGAAAACAATGAGGTGAATCAGAATATACCTGTTTTGTTTAAATCGGTTCGATCGGGTTACACTACGAAGTTAACATCAATACTTCAACCGAAAGCAATGGTTTACTGCACAACTGAAAAACTATGAAATGAAAAATGGAAAGTAATTAAACGAACATTCGGATCAACAATTGTGGAAATTGACAACACAAAGTTCCAGCTAAAAAAATACAGAAAACGAATCGAAAATAAAAGTATTTTCTATGTGATCCAACTGGTGCATACGGGACCGAAAACAAACAAACATATAAATATTTCTGATTAACTGCTTGAGGGCACCATGGAGACGGAGGGAACTGTATAAATTATCGTTAGATGATATACTAATTTTTCTGTCAAAGGTGGGATCGATTACCGGAAAGAAGCAAAGAGGAACAATTAAAGGCATCTTCACACGAATTTCAAAGAAGAAGTTTGCATTCAATATCAAGAGAAGGCTGATATTTAAGATTTCATTTGATGCATACATTAATCTGAAGAAAGTGAGAAACACAACAACCGGGTCTATCTTGGAAAACGTAAGTAATAACAATTTGGCAAACGCTTTGACAACTCGGATGCGTGTGATGTTTAAAATATCAAAGACTGTCGGGGAAATATTACACAATCACAAACAGGTGTTTACACAAGCACATGACTGTAATTGTGCAGTATCGCGACTTCAAAAAATTGAGAACCACATTGCCTGCAGATTAAGTGAAATCACAGAAAATCGGCTTTTGTGGAATGCAAAAAACGTGCCCCATATGAACGAAAGAATTGGAAAGGAAGAAATTATAAGGACAATCATCACTATCATTGCAAGTATACCACGACCACTAAGGAAGAAAAAATAAAAATAAAAAAAATGTCTCTACTTGCATCGAAAATAAGAATGATATGGAGATTTTTCTTCACATATCAGAAGTATGGGAAGTAAAAAGAAGATTGACAATGTATCCTATCACCATTGGACAGAAATCCTGGAGAAACTTTTGTGGAATGCCGTAAAATTTAGTACGAGAAGACCCGAAAATTCTTTCCGGAATCGAATCATTACGAAATTATACAACAAACGGAATTTGAGATCACTCAATTGCCCAAAAATACGTATCATGGATGTGGGCTGAAAAAAAACGCAAAATGGGATGAACAGGGATCATACGGAAATGTGTATACAATTCAAAAAAACAAGGATGTCACCAGACGCCGACCAATTGTGTCGACATATAAAGAGTCATCTCGGAAAGCATCGAAAGTACTATCAAGAGCTATCAACTTCATGTGTGAAGCATTGAAAGTTGGTTTCTCACTAAAAGGAACGAACCAACTATTACCTAGACTGAAGAAATGCAATCAAGTAGCAAAAGAAACATACGGGAATATGACTACGATAATCTGCTCTACATACGACGTCAAAGATATGTTTTCGAATCTCGATCACACACATATCTTAAACGTCATGCAATGGATGATGAAAACGGCGAAAGAAAAACGGAAAACCCACTTGTGTTACAAGATGAGAGGAAAGTACATGAACTTTGGAAAAGCAAGCGGAACCTACGGATGGAGAACATTAAAAATTGAGTGCCTAATGGATCTGTTGTACTATGATATCAAAGAAGCAAACTTCAAAGTACAAGGTACATTATTACGCCAAGTAATGGGGATACCAATGGGGAAGGGCTCTAGCCCACCCATTGCCAACATGGTATGCGCGTTCGACGAGTACAATTGGTGTGCGCAGACTGAAATTGATGACAAACTTATCCACGGTATGAGTTTTGTGGACGATGTAATGATGATCATAATAACAAGTAAGGAAGATCAAACGAAAGAGTTGGAAACATGCTACCACCAATCTCTAAAACTTGAAATCACATCAGACAACGCGAACACAGAATGAACATATATGAAAACAAGGGTGACAAAATCAATCAACGAACAGAATCATAAGATATGATGAAAATAGCTCCAGATTGAAGGCATGTTGGAAATCGACGACAACAAGGACAACACAGAGAGCGACTGCGGGATATCCTGAGGATAGATGATGAGTACACTGCAAGGATAGGGAAAGTGGCGGAGAAGGACTGAGAACGAAGGGTATAAATAATGAGGATAGTGGCTGAAATGATTACCTGAGCAGTGAGGTAGAAGGGTAATCGCGACTGGTGTCGCATGCCATGGACATTACGTGTATGCTGTGAA